AAAAATTCCGTCAGAAGCACAAGAAATTGATTTAGGTTGAAGTGCAGAAATCACTGTTACTTTTTTCCCTTATATAGGTGTCGAGAACTGCTTTTTTAACATATTAATGAGACACTTTGTGGAACAGTTTTTGAATGCTATTAAATAGAGATTTCAAGATGCCTTTTCTCCTATTTGACGGTTCAAAATTCTTAAGCAGGAGGGGAGTTGGGATTCTAGGGTCGCTCTCAAAATAAGAGGGGACTGGTTTTAAGAGGCAGGGAATTACAGAAGTATAATAGCACAAGCTGAGCACTGTTTGCAGTATGTGTAACATGAATTTGCTCGCACTTTGAGTGCATGTAGCAGTAATGAATTTGCGTAAAATCTTTCACAGTCACTTAAGCGAAAAGGAGTAAATTACGTGGAAGAGCGGTGTTTCTTGAATCCAGAAATGTTCAACACAATCAGGCAACTACAGAATACACAATTACACATCAAGTTATGAGCAAAGAGGCACGGGTTTCACAAGTTTTTTTTTCCTCGTTTTTCTCGGTGCTTGTTCTCTCCGTACTGCATACGAAGGAGCGCGAGCACCGACTTTCCGCGCTTTGGGGCTGTTTCAACGTCATAGTTACAAGCTGCCTTTAATGCAGACGCAAAAGAGGTGTATAAGAAAGAACAAGGAAGGCCTGTGTCGCTGTGAATGTGTAGGTGGCTCGCTTCTCATTCAGAACACTGGCTATGCATCGGTGAAAAATCTCATATGTAAGCACGGACGAAGCATAATAAATGAAAGAAAACTATGAATACAGTCAGCACTGAGATCAGACTGAGGTAATGGAAGGCGTACTGTGGTCCTGATGAATTCTAGTTAAGGGTAGCCTTTTCTGAAAAATCTCGGTGTCGTCGGGAATAGTCGCAATAAGATATGTCTTGGATGGTCATAGTGTCATCTGATTCTGTTGTCCATGGCACTCAGTAAACAAGGCAGAATAAAAGAAGCGGGTTGAAATCAAGAGAGGAGCGTGAACCATGGCGTCTTGTAATTGCGTTGCTTTTGCCTTTGCTTATAAATTTATGTCAGTTCTGTTGATGCAGAATTGCGGGCGCTGAAGGATGGGTGTGAGGAGGGGGAGGATGGAAACGGCTGGCGTGGAAGAAGGAATTCGATTAGTAGTTAGCTTATCATAAATTTGTGCTGTTTTTGTAACACCTTCTCTACGCATTTTGCACTGGTGCTAATGCTGTGTTTACCAATAGTTCGGAACTGTTTTCCTGAAGGGTTTCCAAACGTCATAGTGGAGGGGCGGGCGGTGGGAGTTAAGGCGCGAGTGGAAGAAGTTGTGGCTGAGGAAGCTGAAGGGACAAGCAGGAGGTGTTCAGGCACAGAATCGCAGTGCTAAAAAAACATAAGAACACTGGATGCAATAAGGAGACATGAAATTTATACAAAAAAAAAAAAATTGAAGCGGAAAATTTCGTTTTTTGCAAAAGA